AAAAATATGGCGAAAAACAGGACTGGTAAATATGCACGTGGACCAGATAAGTTTTGAGATTAGACTTTTTGGTGGCGCTGGTGGAGGGTGCCCGATCATCGGACGTGTCGGTTTATTAAAGTGAGCTAAAAATAAAGTAAAAGAAAACTAGGGCGCAACGCCACTGGTTTAACCTAGCTAGTGTCAGTTGTGTGAGCATTTAAAGAATGCGTCAATATGTTAAACCAGTGTCATTGAGCGCTAACTCTATTTTACTTTATATTTGATACCTCGCGTTTTTAACAGCTGGTAACCCTAATATGCCATCGTTTCTCTAAAAAACATGCATATACATCATTAGAAGCGTATTTTATTTTAAATAAAAATGATCGAAATGAAATTTTTGTTTAAAAAATGATAACCATTAATTGAATTAAAAATATTTGCGGCTATTTTTTGACTAGCAACCTGTGTTCAATCTATTCCTTGTTCTTAAATTTCTGTAAAAATATGAGTTTGAATAACTATGTTATGAACGAAGTGATCTTGCAGTTGGATCGTAACCTATTCAGAATTGGGAAGAGCAGTAATCGCAGCATAATTTTTACCGTATGATTTGCTGGCAGTTTATATACGCATGGATTTGCTGGCGCTAGTAGCCACGCAAGTCGTGTTTGCACGCTTTTTGAAGGTTTAAAGAACACAACATTTTGGCACCCCAGTTTCATTTTTATGTTTGCACAGTAAAATTTTCTTTTGAATTCCATCTTGTCGTGTTCGTTTACACAATAGTAATGTCAATCGAGAAAATAAAATTTGGATTCCGTGTAGGGTGTCGGTTAATTCTAAAAAGTATGGTTAATGAGAAAATTAGCCGTGTAAAAAAGAGAAGAAATGATAAGCGGGGAGACCGAATTTGGATTAGAAACTGAATTGCTACAATGTCCTGAGAACTCATTTTACACCTCATGAAGTGCTCATCAGTGATATTTGTTAAATCTATGCCTGTATAAAATCGTCGGACTGTCTGGTAATTTGCCAATTGATTAGATGTTCATATGTGTATGAGTGTTTTGTGTTTATGCGTGTGTGTTATATGTGTGTATATGTTATATTCAATCTATAAATCTAGAGTTATAACAGAACTGCAGTCCCTATATCATGCCATTTTGTTATACCTTATTTCCATCTACTCTATATGTCTATGGAACTAGCCAATCAAAACCGCCTTGTTGAAAATTATAACTCTGTCTGTTCGCGTGGAAAACTGGACTCAGACTCACAGTCTTCGGACTCTCAAATTGCACTTTGAAGTTTATTGAAATTAATTCTTCTATTTAAGCGTTTTTCTTTAGTCTATCCCATTATGTCACTGTATGCATTCCAGTTTTTTTTTTATTCTTAAAGACTGCTGTTCATTTTATAGTAATATAATCAATCATATAATTAACCCTTTATTTCCATTAATACTACTGTTGTTACCCATTTACGTATTGTAGTTCAGAAACAATTTAAAGCAACATAAAACAACAAACAAAAAATATAATTGAACAAAGTTAATTAAATTATTTACGGAATGTTAACATGCTAACGCAAAAGAAACCCCATAACTACTGAAATCGTCAGATGAGATCAAATAAAATATTAGAGTAAGGCATATTTTAATTTTCCAGGAAAAAAAGTGGAGGAAGAAATAAATTTTTATGCACAAAATAAATACTGATAGCTGATAAGATAGGTTCAATAATAGTATTATTTGGGATGATTTGTATTTCTGTACTTAAAAGAATATTATCTATCCCATTAATCCAATATTATAAAGATTATTCACGTTTTAGTAATATTAATAAATTATATATTTCAAGAATTTACATTTAGATTGCTAAATGCACCTGCAATAAACTTAGATGTAGTAATTGTATTTGCTTGTTAAATACAAGATACACATTTGTGAAAATTCATTTCGAACGCATATGTTTTTATTTTTTCTTCTAAAAATAATAACAAGGCGGCAAACATAATTTGTTATTTTGAGTGACGGATGTCACTATTAATTGGAGAATCTTTTTATAGAAATAAATAATTTTACATACAACATAAATATCGCAAATATTTTATTGTTTTAGTAGATAACAAATTCGAACATATTTTTAGGCAGGGGCATTTTTTTACAAAATAATTAAAGTGAATATACTAAATATTCTTACTAGCAACTATGATATAGCACACATGAAATACCGTCTCTTATAAATGAATGTTTATGGTCAGATAGATAGATATTTCACAACATAGGGTATACTGGCCTAGGTTGCATTAGTTTATCTAATTTTAATTAAGTTGACGATGTAATATATTGTTTGTAATTAACTATAGGTTAATTATGTTAGCAAAGAAGGGTCAAACATAGTTAATTATGGGCACACTTCAGTAACATTTTCATCATTTTAACTACTTTAATGTTTATTGATAATAAAATCTGCTCAGCACTGAACAATACGCAATTTTTTCTAACCTAAACTAATACTAAGAAACATTTTTGCTAGTAAGCAAGTTTTGCAAGCTAAGATTTGCTAGTATCGATTAGTCTCTAATAATTCATTAAACAAATACTACTATACAACGTTACACAACACTATTACTTGTTTTTGACTTTTCAGTTAACTAACTTGAAGGGGTACTTCCTTTGATTCTTCTATCCAGATATTAGTTGTTAAAAAGCTAGATGGCCTCAACATTGTAGCGCTGAAAAGAAAGTTTTTCGTGAAAAATCCGTATAGTCATTTTTGCTGAATTGAAGGTAACAATGCTTATGAGAACATTATTTTGTGAAATCGTAGGCTTCCACGGCCAGAGTCAGAATTATAGTTTATTTCGTCTTCCGGGTTTGGACCGTGTCATTTGTGAGTGACCCAAAAGTGGGTTCATCTCGACGTTTCGCTACAATTATATGTAGCTTCTTCAGGAGAAACAAAGAAAAAGAAAAAAGAAAACAAACTTCCTGTTCTTTTGTTTTCTTTTTTCTTTTTCTTTGTTTCTCTTGAAGAAGCTACATATAATTGTAGCGAAACGTCGAGATGAACCCACTTTTGGGTCACTCACAAATGACACGGTCCAAACCCGGAAGACGAATAAACTATAACATTATTTTGATATCCATGGATGACTTCTAAATTATTCTTACAAGTACAACTTCACAGTTGAATGGTAAATGATCATACAGGTTTTGTTTTCTGTTTATACAAGGATATATTAGATTAACGGGGTGGATTGTACTCTCAATAGCCAGTAAATTTTTATGCTTGATGCTGAGCTCTCTAACCTACACAAAATTCTCATTAAGTATGTCAAGATTACGGAAGGAACAGCAAATGTCAGGAAAGGTGTGAGAAACACTGATACATTTCATACATCAAGGTGCAGTGCTTAGTCTTTACCTATTCCCATTGACACTTTACTTACTTCAATGAAACTAAAAGAAATATTCTAGAAAACTGCTATAAGACCAGCAAGGATGTATAAAACTAAATGTTGGACATTTAAAAAAAAAGAAAGAAGGACAACGAATACATCTGGCCGACATAAAAATGCTTAGATGGATATGTAGTGTGACAAAAAAGGATGAAATTAAGAGAGGATATATTAACGGAAGTCTATGGATGGCAGCAATTAAAGCAAAATTAAGGGAGCTTACGTTAAGATGATTAGGGCATGTTTTACTCGAACTGCTAACCGCCAAATATGAAGAAATGCTGATTTGTGATTTTATGGAAGGAACAGAACAGGAAGACCAAAGAAGAACTTTTGGAAGATGCTTAGATACGACATTTCAGTACAAGAGATTGATATTGGTATGATCCAAGAGAGCGATGATGAATATATAGTATACTTTATAACATTTAAAGCTGAGGGAGATTCATTGATAAAATGTGATTTGGAAATTAGATAGATGTGAACATGTTCTGCATGAATATTTCGAATACTTTTAACTTCTTCATTTATTTTGGTAGTATGTATCCTCTGTAATTACCTGGATGACCTTCTTTACAGTGAACACATGTTAATTGACCATAGACTGACCATAGTCTTGCAATTTTTTGCTTTGTGGTACAAGTCTAAATTTTATTAACAGTAGAATTTGAATTCAAACTAGTATGTCAGAAAGTTTGAATGCTTCGAAGTAATAACAAAAAGATATTTACCGGTTGTTTAGTATTAGATTTCAGATGTAATATACTAACTATAAGCTCTCTGTTATTTCTTCTGTTGCTCGAATTTTAACACGCAATATTGGTCGATTCCAGCAAGAAGTTATGAACGTCGATTATTAAAACTGCTAGAAGAAATTCTATTGCACCCAGAAGGTCTTGTTGGAACCTGCAGGTGCATGTGGTACTAACAATACTGTTAAAATTGTTAAGAGAATGCTCGAATACTTAAAACTAAAATAAATACAATGGTAGATTTAAGGAAAAAAAGCAAACAAATTGCAGGCTGTTGAGAATAAAAGTGTGCTGTAATTTTAGTGAATAACTTTTTATTTTCAATAAAAGTTGTTAAATGAACTATTAGCGTTTAAATTTTAATGGTAGTTATTAAAATATATAAACTTATTATACATTTAATCTGAACTTATTTCCTTTATTTTATTGAGTTAAGAGTTTTATTTAAAAGTAAGAAGACGAACCACACTTTAATGATAAACCCTGTAACTTAAAATAATTTAAAATGTATAGGTATATCTATCTCTATCTGTATAGGTCTATCTTTGAAAGCTTGCAAGGAGATTGAAACATTTCTTTGAATAAATTTGGCAAACCAGATTTTTTTACGACCATTAAAGTTCTTTATAGAATAATAAATATCTTGGATCCTGCCATAAATTTTTATATATCCAATTAATCCACAAACGAATTACCAAACCAGTATTCCTAATTATAAAAATTACCACTTTATTTTATTTGCAATGATTTATATTTTATCTTTTAGCGATATAATAATCACCTAATGATTTATTTTTCGAAATCGTAGTAGAACCGTTCAAGGAGTACAACTTACTACTACAAACGTTATGAATGTGTGTAAAAAACTCGCCGTCGCGAAGATCAATTCCTTGTTTCTTGTATAATACGACATTGTCGAGTAACAGTCGATACAATTCGCATGATTAAGTAATGTGGTTATCAGTTTAAAAAAATCAATAAAGTGAAAAGATATGTCTAAAGATTCTCGATATACGCCAGTTAATACAAATCCAGATAAGTAAGTTTTTAACGATTTTTAAATTGCAACAAATAAAACCATTCCAAAAATGATCACTTTAAAGTCATATTCATATAAAGTAATTTGTTAACTTTAAATCTCTAGTGGTGTACAAGAAGTCAAATTTAGCTTATTTTTTCCAATAATTATCAGTATGGAATTTGCAAGAAAGCTGTGAAATTTAAAAATTAATTTGGAATAAATATGTTTACGATTTTATCTTAGCATTAGTGATATCTGTTAGACAATTAGAATATTAACATACTAATTGACATGCACAAAGAAAAATTTTACATAATTCCCATATCGACTCCAGAAGTATAGTTTTTATTTTTCATAATTATGTAGCAATACTGCTTTAAAATATTGTAAAATTTGTCTTGTACCATATAAAAAGCTTTCAACTGAAGTATTTTTAGCATGATTTTCTTTACAACTATTAAATACATAAAACTGTATAGTCCATGGGTAATCTTTTCATTTCGTTTCCTTTTATTCTCTTTTTATCTATTTTATAACGAATATTTATATTTATATTGAATATGTAAAGGTTTTATTAAATAATTTTACAATTTGTAACACTAGGCACATATCGGATGTTTTAAAAAATTTCTAAAACTTGATTTTCTTGTGACAGGTCTAAGTTAAATATAGGGTTCAGCCGCAATTAATTGTTATAAAAATAATATTTTATAATTGTTAATTGACGTTTTTTTAAAAGTATTCCGAAAATACTTTTTAAAAATGATTATTTTAAATTAGTGAGCTGTTAAACCAATTAAAACCAATAGTTGCAGAACCGCTAAACAACTATTGGTTATATTAACAGTCCACTATTTTAGAATAATCTTTTTTGAAAATAATTTCCGGAGAAAAAATCAAAATGCCAAAGAACAATAATTATAAAACGTAATTTTCATTACAATCAATTTTGGCTTAATTCCATATAAACATAATATTAAACTTTACTATTATGTATATGTTTTGGAAATGTTTGTTACATGAAATTTCGTACTGACTGTTCATTAAGTTTATTCTACATAGTAATAGGTTTACATACTTTGAATGTAAATCTGAGACCGAACGTTGGCAACAATTACATAGATTTGTATTAGTAATTAATTATCAAGAAATGGTCTGTTTATTAGTTTCATTAGTAACCAATTTTTTTTTATTAAAGATATACCTCTATATTTCTATACAAGTAAAATTTTTGTTTTACATGAATGAATTACGTCTCATATAGATTAAAATATTAAGAATTATAATTTTCTTGAGTACTATTCATTTATACTATACTAGAATTAAGTGATATTTTGTTACTGTGTGCGGGAGTTTGAATTTAAACCTTTGGAAAGAAACAAAATATAAACTTTTACTTTAGTTTTTGAAATGGTTTATTTTTTGTTTATTTATTTTATGGCTAAAAATATATCGTATTCCTTAAAATAAGTAATAGCAAATGTAGGATGACAGTTTGAAAACCTTAATTTCCCATTAATAATGTGAAACACCGAACAGACAAGTCAGATTTTATTTTCAAAATCGAGACTTTTATTAAATTCTTTTAGCCGTCACGATTTAATCCAGCAAGGGTACAGGTTACTGTTACAATTTTAGATGGAAAGGGGAATGCAAGTAAAACATGGTGTTCGAGAGCTTTAAATTTAAAAAAATCATTTTTCCTTAACATTGTTCTCATTAACATTATAACTATTAATCTTAGCAAAGGCAAGTTCTAACTATTGTAACTATAATACGATTTTGTGGCACCTTCTGAACGACAAATAATAAATTGGGCTACCATTGTAGAGAAAATTAAACTCTCTTCAGAATTTTGTGTTCCTTATAAGTGTAAATGATACCTTTATAATTAAGTTAATCCTAATGGCTAAGATAACCTTAAGGGGTAAAATATTCACTGAATTTCTACTCCTTAAAAACAAAATATAGAATATACCTATTTCCGATTTTTCATATTATTTAAAGGAATAAAGATATTAACGGTGAGATGTTTTCAAATTATCACCCTGTATATATATATATATATATATATATATATATATATATATATATATATATATATATATATATATATATATATATATATATATATAATGTATGTAAATTATATTTAGTAATTTGTAGCGGTTGTGGCAAACGCTGAAAATAAATTATATTTGGTTGCCATCGTTCTTTAATATTTCCTGGCGGGGTTTCTGATGAGAAATATTAAATCCTTCCTCTTACATCAAATAAATTAGGCATAAAGTGGCGTTAAACTCGATTATTGAGAGCGCGTTTTCGGATGAGCAAAATATTGAATCCTTCATTACTTCAGATATATTAGGCATAAGGTGGCGTTAAACTCAATGATTGAGAAGATAATTGGAAATTTCTTTGACGAATAAATTTTACAGAATAATCATGGAATAATTCTGTGGAAGTAACACATGGTTTTAAAAAGCTTTCAATTTTTTTTTTAAATTTAACATCTAATGTTTATTGCAATCTGTCTCATTACAAACAATAAGCAATATGTATAATTTATGTACAATAACACAGTGGGAAGCTGCCCAGTAGCAAGTACGCAGGTAAGACATAATATAAATATATGATATAACAATTAATTTAAACTTTAAATTAACAAAGAAAGTTTAATACAGATAAACATCACTAACACACATATAAGTATTACAAGACTGAGAAAAAAATGAAAAAAAAAATCAAGGAAAGATTTAGAAAACACCAGAATAAAAACTTTCTTTTTTCACCGCACTATGACACTATGCTCTGTTTTTCCATATTTCCAAACGGTCTGGTCGTTTTAATCTTCTATCGTGTGAAATGTTGAGCAGATCCGTGGTCAGCGGATTTGGATGACAGGATAGTCTGGTCTTGCATACAGAGTTTACAGCGGATATTGCTTCACTAACTCTTGGTAACGGTAAATCGTGCTGTAATCTGTAGTTAGTAATGTACCAAGGGGTATTGCAGATTTGGCGCAGTACTTTCGATTGGAATGGTTAAAGTTTTTGTATGTTGGTACTTGATGTACCCCGTATTTGTGATGCATATTGCCATACCTGTAGATTAAGCTAAGTTGAAGGCGTTTTTTCAGATATGGATACCCCAATTAAGTTTGCTATCCAAATGCATTCCTAAGTATTTAACGACGGTATTACTTTTTTTAAAGTAAACGTTATTTGTGTTGATTTTTAAATGTTAAATTGGACTCGCCACAGTTTAAGCCAGCTCTCTAGTTTAAGTAGGTGGTTTTGTAATACGTGGGATGCTTCAGTTGCTGTAGAATTTGAGGCCGTAATATCTGTGTCATCAACATATGTAGCGATTGTTGTATTGGTCGTCGTTGGGAGATCTGATGTGTATATTAAGTAAAGGGTGGGTCCTAGTATGTTTCCTTGTGAAACTCTGGAACAAATTGTAAACAGGTTAATGATTTCCCCACCTCTTTTAACTTGAAAGAAACGATGTGTCAGGTACGATCTTAAAAGTAAGCTTATGGGATGAAGAAAATATGGAATTAATTTTATTACAGTACAATAATTTTTTTGTTCGAGCAAATTTCTGATAGTCTTAACCACCCTATGAATTTGCTCGATAGTACAGTTTTTCTATATCTGATCCAGTTTGTTCTTTTATTAGAGAGTATTAGATATTTAGGGCATTTATATATTTGACTATGTAGATCTATAAAGAAAGGGGAATAATCTGATGAGAGGTCAAATGAAGGAGAAATTTGGAGATAGGTATGTGATATTTCTTTTACTATAGCGAAATCAATAAGATCAGGATTTTTTTTGTCTATCGGTGGGCCAATACGTAGGCTCTCCAGTAGAAAAAGCAATTAAATGATTTTCATTAATACTTTTTAATAATTCTCGTCTACGTGAGGTGTTGATTCTGGAACTCCATTTATGATGTTTGGCATTATAATCTCCAGCAGTAATGAAACGGTGTCCGAACATCTTAAAGTATTCAGTAAAATGATCAGCTTTAATTATTTTGTTCGATGCACAGTAAACAGCAGATTGAATAATCGGGCTTTGTGAATCTTCGACCGACACTGATATGGCTTGGATGTTACCTTTACTAATTTTATTTATTTCATATTCCAGTTATTTCTTATAATAATTGCCGTACCTCCATGGGCTTTGCCTAATGGATGTTGAACTACATTGAATATTTGGGAATATTAGTCATATGTGCTTCGGAAATAAACATGACATCTACATTATGAGAGTAAATAAATTCTTTAACTTTGTGGAAATGAGTGTTTAAGCCATTGGCATTCAAGTAGCACATCTTTAGTTTAGTGTTGAAAGTTAAGCTTAAATATCAGAGACATTATGAGACCAAACATCTTATCCATTCTTTCCATTATCTTATGTACTAGTAGTTCTAGATATTATATGTATGTTGAGGAGTTGTTGTTTCTATTGCATAAAATGTCTTATCTATGGTAGATGTATTTCTATTATCTCTTGCTGCAACAATTTTCGCATAGCTGATGGTTGGTTGAGGAATTCAAGGATTTACTGCACGAGGTGGTTGACTTGCGTTTTTTTTCGCAGTGTTAAATTTTTTTTAAGCTCTTTGTATACTGAGCATCCCTTATAGCTGGCAGGATGATTTTCCAGACAATTTACACATTGAACATCTTTTATGTTTTTTTTTGTTTTGGACATTGGGATGATAGGTGATCGCCCACGCATTTTGCTCAGCGCGGACTCCTGTGGAGATAATTGTGTGTGGCCAAAATGCTGATATCTTTGACATTGAAGTCTTTCCCTTTTCGGATGCAGTGGCTCAACTGTGAGAATAGAGTTGAGTAATTTTGTCATATCATATATATGTCTTTATTATTACTTTGAATGGCCAGTTATATATTAAATAGTAACATATCTCTCTTTGTGCCTGTTTGCCTAATGTTGTAGATGTTCAGTGCTGTATGTCCGTGCACTAGCAACGCTTTTTTA